TTCTAATAAGCTGATAGCATGGGGGCTCAGCAACTCCTTTCGTCATGCCCTCAAGGAAATTGGCCAAAACGTATGTTAGGGCTCGAAACAAGCAGTCATCTGCATGAACGGTACTCAAAAACTCGGACCCTCTTCTGCCATTTTACCAGAAACACTCGGAACTTCTTTAATTCTTTCATCTGAACTTTATAATAAAACCTTCCGTAAGATTGAGCTTTTTGAGGATTTTCAGAATCGTTTCGACACAATTCGCGAGTACAACTTTGACGGATTCCATGTGGTGTTCCTACCATTCGCAGAAGACATACGTGACGTGTCTGAGAAAATGAAATGCCCTGAGGGGGAATGGCCGAAACGTAGGTTCCTTGAAAAATGTTAGAATTTGCCAGTGGTGCTGTAACGATGACACTGCGATCGCCTCAGAACCCCTTCTTCTGTCAAGCATTAATCTAACTGCCTCGTTTTCAGCATCCGCCTCTGATGTTCGGGTAGCATCGGCATTCGTCAAAAAATTGACTGGATCCTACGTTCCGACACAGTATGAGAATCCAAGTGGGTAAAATTATTTTCTTTGTTCTTCTGAATGTTAATTTATTGATTTTTCTCATAGATCTGTTGTACTCCATACCTGGCCCTAATCAAGCTGAATCGGGTACAAGTAATTGTATAATTATTTGTTGTTGATTTGAAGTAGCGTATTCAAGCTTCGACCAGGATTAGCCCTGATTCAGAGGGACGTTTTTGACCTACTCTAGATTTTATCAGAAGCCTATGCTTGTTGTTAATCAAAGAATTATGTCGAAGATGGGTATGGTGCAGATAGTTGGTTGCATTGCCTTTAGAAAGTTGGTAATAAAAAAGAGTAACTTCAAAAGGATCTTATCAACTGCCGACTTACCTATTTTTCTTTGCATCACCCACCCATTTCGCAGCCTGAAAGGGCAGTTAGCAATAATTTTGAGGTACCTAATCTAGGTGGGTTAGTGGAAGCTGTAGTACAAAATAATGGAATTGGTTAGAAAAGCGCGAAAACCACTGGATTTTAGGTAAAAAATCCCAAACAAAGTGGAAAGAAGAGGTAGGAATATGGGTATTGAGCGTGATGCCATCTATCGCTGGGCTGGGTGGGCTATCGCGTAGAGCTAGCTACCTCAAAAATGCCAAAACCATCGTCCTTTGTCGTCGTGGATCATACTTAGCTGCTTGAATTACCAGCATGTGTGCCCTAGTGTGTGTGGTGCAGCCTCTTCGAGATCTTTGAAACACGGCCATTTCTAGGTGTGGCACACAGTAGACACAATCTTCTAGCCCTTATCACACCTTACCTAGGTTGTTTTTCGATCAGACAGCACCATATATGGCATACTCGGTGGTAACAGATTCGTCGCAGGGGGATTAGCTTGAAAGCCATTTTTATGGTGTGGTGAGCTGTGCCTTTGAGTCAAGGTAGGAGACACTCCACTGGAATCTTATGAGGAGTGGAATCTCATGAAGTTCGACACCCTCAAGGGTACGTCGCCGCTCACCTATGAGACTGCCCTTGCTCTCTTCGCTGGTTTGCATTTTACTCAGTGTGATGGTCATTTCGGAGGTTCTACAGCAAGCGTTGCACCTATGCTGCTTCTCACAGGAAAAGGGCCCAGCTCGCCTAAAACAGGCTTGCCAAACCTTTCCCAAATTGGCTCAGCGGTGGCGAGCATGCATCGGAAAATTCGTTACGAAGGATTCCCATTTAGTCAGTTCAGAAAAAGTGAGGTTGGTTTCAGCTGTCATATACTTCCCCTCTTAGGAAGCATCCAACTTGAATTTTTTTTNTTTTTTTTGTGGTGAAGCTTTTAGGAGGCAAAGGGAATTAAGGGAAGCGAAGATACTGGGCAGCTTTGCGATAGGTCACGCTTTAGAACGAAAATGCCAAAATCACTTCTGATCCATTCTATTTTACTCGACACCATACTTTTTTGACTTTTGGCATCTAATTTTTGGCTTTTAATCTCGTACTACTGTGTAAATATATAGGAATCCTCCTTTCTAATTTTAGGATTGCAATCATTCTATGCGATGATCGTTGAAAACGTTGTTGGTGAGCAAATTGTGAAGCCTACTGATACGATATGTGAGCTGGTTGTTTTTCAAAATTTTTTCGTTCGTTTTGTTTTACCTGCCAGAACTCCCTTGAATTATTCCCATCTGTGTTTTGCATATCCATCTTTTCCTGTTCAGTACCCTACCATGCTAGACCGGAATGGGCTCAGCGTGTCAAAAAGGAGTCTGCCCACCTCATCGAGCATTTCCATTTGGATAAACTTGAGGAATTGGCGCAGACTACTGGACGGAAAAGAGGTGCTGGTGAGTACATGGCGCAACTCGAGAAAACGGAATTGAACAACGCTAGAGAGCTATCATTGGCTCGCCAGTTATACTCTCTGGATTTATTATTTTTTCTTCCGATTAATTTTTATTTATTCGTAGATAGCAAGCCGGATGCCGGTCGTGCGAAGACAGCGAAAACTGATCACTCTGAAACTGATCCTCGTGATTTAGCTGCGAAAGGAAAGGTAACTTCTGTGGAATATTGTTCAGTTTCATATCTCATGCTATAATCATGCTCATATAACTCATGCTCCTGTTGAGCTCCGCCCATTTTGATTACGCTCCACCCACCGCTGGTTACACCCTGCACCGGGCCATATATCCCCTTGTGGTTGTATGCGCTTCTCTTCTATGAGCTTAGTGAAGTGAAATGGAGATGTTACTCGCCCAGTTGTCCATATTCCCTCATCAAGATCCGTGATCCGTGGGCGGTGGTCTCTTTCTGTACCTAACAGAAACTCAACCTCCCTTGTTTACACCGATGAG